ATAGCGGGGCACAGGAATGATCACGGCTGTGGTCCCGCAGCAGCCGGCCAAGCTTTCCCTGCCCGCTGCCTCGCTCCACGGAGCTGAGCAGGGCAGAGAAATTGCGTGAGGAGGAGCCGGGAAGCTCCACCATAAATAAGGGCTCCAATTAGCCGGCAGCGCCCGTGACAGCCCGTTCTCTGTCACCGCACGGTGAAGGTGCCCTGAGTGCTCCGGAGTGTAGGATGGTAATGTCCCTTCCCTGCCCTCCGCACCTTTCCTCCAGAAAACCACAAATCTTTGGGAGACGATTCCTGCCTCGTGCTTTCTTGCCGAATGAGCATCCCAGCAATGTGGCTGAACTTTGGGAATTCTTATAAGAATGGTCTCAACTTGTCTGCCCGTAGGCTGAGGGCTTGGGTAGAGCTGCTGTGCCTGCTGGAGTATGTGCAATAACTCCTTGCACAGAGCCTGTGCTCACACCTAGGAAGGATTTTTGTTTTAGAAGTGATTCCATTCATAAAGCGCTCTACAAATTAGTAAAACAAGTTCTGACATATATTCAGCTGAACTAAATATAAATGACAAACGATGTTGTTCAATAATGCATTAAGATCTTTTGTCCCAAGAGACAAAATGAATTTTAAAAAGAAAAGCTTTGGTTTTAAGAGCGTGAATCAATGCCCATGCTGCTCAGTCGTGGTTAACTTCACCGAGTTCAAGATTAGGCCTGTGCTGCACGTATTCTTCAGTATGAATATATTTAAATAAATTATGTGTCCCCTGTTCCTTTCTTGGAGTGCTACCATTGTAGGCTTCTTAAATCAAGGAAGGAGGATGGGCTTGTTCCCATCCATGGCTTGTTCCCATCCATGGCTTGTTCCCATCCGCGCGCTGTGCAACACAGTGATGACAAACGGTAGGTCTGTTAAGGCATAGATTAAGCATTATAAAAAATAGATTTGCCCAGAAAATCTATCCTTTAAAGTAGCGCACGAACTCTAGTGATTTATCTGTTCCCCTGCTAGGGCCTGCTTTGGCCGCCAGGCGCAGAGCAGGGAGCGAGCGGGGGCGATCGTCCTTACGATGCGCGGTGAAAACAGAGCTGTGTCACCCTGAGCGGTAGAAATAGCCTGTGTGGTGGAATGCTGGTCACTCCTTCAGGAAACTCCTGAGAGACAAAGGCTATAAGGGCTCTCTCCTGCCAGTGATGGTGCTGCAGTTTGCTGCAGCCTCTGCTTTGCTGATTTACAGCCCTCTGGAGTGCCAGTGTGTGAGTAAGGCATGAGATGTGAGTCCTGGTTACACGGGTCCGGGTGTGACTTGGGGAACACTACATTTATCATTTACGGTTAGACTGGAATTAGGAAGTTTGAAGAAGAGAAACCTGTGAAGTTAGAGAACGACATTCATGTGATTGAAGGTTGCTTTTTTATTTGCCTGTCGTTATCTCGTTTGCTTTGGGCTCCTGCTGTGCACTGGGGACAGTGTCCAGCTGATGGCCAGGCTGCCAACCAGGTAGGGGTGCAGAAGATCCCGCTCTCTTCTGTTCAAGGCACAAGGTAGCGGTGCCTGGGGCACATCCCATGCTGTCCCCCTTCCCAGGTGAAGCTGCAGGGCCCTCCCTGCCGCCTTGCCAGCTCCCCATTCCAGCAGTCAGGAGATGCAAATGGAGTGTATTCATCAAGCATGCAGATGGGGCCGTGTGTCCCTGGCAAAGGGTCTGCAGCTTCCTCAACCATCGGGTGGATGCCTGATGTTGTCCTCGCCATGTCGTCATTGTTGCCCAGTTGAGCTGTAGCTTGCTGGTATTTTTGGGTGACGGTAGAATGGATCTGCACTTGAAGAGGGAGTGAGCTCCTCAAAATGCCTGACTTACTAGCCAGTCTTCCTGGGTTTTAACAGCACTCCGAGACTTCGTAGGCAAGGACAGTTTTATCCTCCCCCTTCCCAGTGCTGTTGTGCAATAAAATTTGCCCGAACTTCATCATAAAGCGCACAGAGCATGTGGGGGTGCCGGGTTCTGCAGGCTCTTTCTTCAGTGCCATCCCAGGCCAGGCTATTTTCAGTTCATATTGAGAGCTCATGTTGGATTATGACATTAAACCAAATCCATGGAGTTTATTTGACATTTGTATTCCAAATCAATCTATTGCAAAGATTGCTTTTTTTATGAACATGAAGTACTAAAATGCACTAATATTTATTCCTTAAAGGTTATGATTGCCTTAAATCCTTCAAGCTTATTTGAGGAGCCAAAGATATAATTAAATGAAGCAGTTGAACTTGGTCTGCACTTATGAAATAAATGAAATATATATGTGCTTGACTGAAATAGGGTGGGAGCTGTGAGCTGGCTGTGTCTGCTGTGCTGGAAGCTGCACTGTGATATTTTTCGTTCTTGAATATGAATGTAGATCCAGCTGAAAAAGCAGCTGCAAATTATGGAGTGTTTCAGCATACACCATACGTTGTGTTAACAAGGAACAGGCTGCCCGGAGTGGCTGCGGAGTCTCCTTCTGTGGAGATCTTCTAAACCCGTGTGGATGCAGCCTGTGCCCCGTGCTGCGGGTGAGCCTGCGTGTGCAGGGGGCTGCAGCGAAACCCTGGGCATCACCCCCTGGCCTGAAGCGTGGAGAGCAGCAGAGCAAGGAGCCTGCGGTCTGGCTCTGGTGGCTCTCAGGGCGCTGGAGTGTAGGTGTCCTTGTGTTCTCGTTAAAATGAACGCGAAAGGCCAGAGAACACTACCTGCCAACTACCCTCGCTCTGTAAAGCGCTGTCAGAGGAGTTCACTGTGTGGTGATGTGTGTCTAGGGTGCATATATAAATCCTAGTTTAAGAAATGGCCTCCACATATATGGGCAACAGAATTCTACTGTACTCATCTACTCATCCAAGTGCATATACTTTACACATGTCTACATCTGTCGGGAGAGCGGGTGGGAGTGCTCCGAATGCTCTGCTGCATGCAGATTGCTCCGTGGAATTAGAGGCGCCTCACGCTCAAATGTCAGAAGCTTTGTGAAAATCAATGGTTCCTCAGAGCTTCCTTAGCTCCAAAGAGCCCATCAAAATTAAGAGTTTTGCCAGGGGATGTGACAGAAGCAGAAGGGAACAGAGCCTGGCTGAGGTCTGCACAGCAGCTTGAGACAGCAAACGGTTCATGTCTTGCTGGAGATGCCCAAAGTGCCTCCAACTGCGGGAGCTTACTGTAGGAAAGCAGCACAGCAAGGGACACACTGCCCCGCTCCTGCAAATGCTTTATTTGCAGTTTCTCCTTCACAGGAATCGTGGGTTAAAGGCGTCATAGAGCACTAAAAACTCCATCCTTGCTCAAGCTACCGCTGGTGTCTCGCAGGAACTTCTCTTTTCTGACCTGAGCACTAAAAAGGAGGAGAATCAGTGGAGCGCTTCCCGCTGCGGGGTTCTCCTGCCGCGGCTTGCACGGCGCTGCCGGGAGCCCTATCACACACCCAGGAGGATCCCGGTGCGGTGGGTGCAGGCTGGCAGAGCCCTTGATAAGTCATCCTTCACCTGCTCATGTCTTCAAGCTGGCTCACGGCAAGCTGATATCATGAAATGCACTATTTAACGTGCAGGGAACTTGATAAAATCCTGGCCCCACCTCAAATGCCTCCTGCCTTTTTTTTTTTTGAAGCTGCATATTGTTTTTGACAAAGCTTTGCTTTTCCTCTGTGGTTCTTTAGCCATTTTAACCCTTTATAACTTCCTGATTCTGTAAAACCTTATTACTTTAACAAGACTTACTATGTTTGCATTTCGGGGCGCTCTCACTGGTAGAAGTTGGTTTGGCTGTAGCCCAGGTTTCTACAGTTTTATTCATTTGAGCAATTTCTACAGTTACCAGTTACCTGGATGTATTTTTCCTAGTGAGACAGCAGCCCCCACTGTCCCCACCAGGCTGCTGGGCTGGGAGACGAGGGGTGCAGGGAGAGGAAGTCGCTAGGATAAAACCCTGGAATTGCAGCCCAGAAATGAGGCGTATTTGCGGTGTTTGAGTTGTATTCAGTAACCTGCTTTGATGCTTGGAAGGCAAGAGGGGAAAATCAATGAGTAAGTTTATACAGTACAAGTGAGCTGCTGGAATAGAGCGGAGGCTCCAGAAGTGATCCGTGTGGCTCGCAACGCCGAGGAGTTTGGATGGCTGGTGAGAGGAGCCGAGGGAGCGGGAGCACGGCGGGTAGGTGGGTCCCTGTGTGGAAGGTGCCTCCGCGGCAGCACGTGCAGAATCCCAAGTTTCCTGCCGCGAAGAGGTGACAGGAATCGTGTCCTCCATCTCAGCAAGAAGCATCAGGGCTTCAGCACACAGTAATGGGAAGCTAATGCTCAACTTCTGACCTCAGACTTGGCAAAGCCCCAGACTTTCTAGGATTAAGTGGCCTGGTTTCATTCACGTAGTTTTGGCAGCAGACCTGGGTGACTAATTTGTCATAAATAATGTATTTGATCAATTGAGCAGTTTTCTCTTTTGTGACTTGCCTGTGGGCAAACCGTGGTTTGCTTGGATAATGCTCTTGTTTTAACTGATTTGCAGAATATTTTCTGTGAGTGAGGTGGGACTCACATAGTTTGTGCTGAGTAGCTTATAGCAGCCACTGGAGCAACTGCCTTACTTAGTTTTTAATGAGGAAGCTGATGTGATTGTGTGTATGTTCTCAATCTATTAATAAATCCTTGAAAATTCTTGTTCTGGGAGACTATGTATTAAGTAATTTAAATTTCCAAATAAGATTATTTGCTGAGATTCAGTACCTCTGTGGATATATTGGCCAGATGAGTATTTCAAATAAAACAAACATAAAGCCTATCGCTTTATGCGTAGATATTTAGAGAGAAATGTTTTAATTTAACCCAGTATTTTTGGCAGCAGGGAAAAAAAATAGGGAAAAAAAAGAGGAAGCCCATGAAATGAGGCTGCAGCAAATGGGGAGTTTGTAAGGCAGCCCTGGGTGGCGGGAAGCAGCTGACTTGCTTGTGCTTTGGCTGCAGGTTCTGCCTCCAGGATGGATGCTCACGTGAACCCTCTGATGCCAGCCCAAGTCACCAGGGTGACTGCTCTCTCTGCTCCAGCTGTGACTTTCATGGCAGCCAGTTTGATGGATCAGACATTAGCAGGTGCGTTTATGTTCCAATGTGCTGCTTTTATCACTGAAGCATATGCTGCATATTTGTCTGCGTCCAACCCAGGCGTCATTCTCCACAGTACGTGGTAAAGAGGGACCCTTAAAAATCCTCTCGGATTGTGTGGGTTTTGCTTTAGCTGGCCAGGAGCGTGTTCAGAAGGCTGCAGGTGCTGTTTGCTGTCTGGCAACGCGCAGTCCTTTTGCACTGGATGGTACAAAGGCGGGTTCCTGAGGTGTCCCGGGCTCGCTCTCTCCCACACCGTGGTGTTCATAAGCCCTGCACCGATAATGTGGTTGTCTCTTGGCTAGCTGCTCCATGAAGCCTCGCTGGCTCCAGTCTCAGAGGATGCTTTATGCTGTGCCATGTGATAAAGCTGTTTTATTCCCTGTTGTCTACGTGTATTGTAGTGAAAGGAGGGGAAATGCTATTCCCAAAGGCTGGAAAAAACTCTTACGGCTTCATTTAGATTCCCATTTACACATTGCAAACCACAATTAGAAAGAGATCAGATTTTGATGGAAAATTGCGAGTGTCTTTCCTAATTAGATGAAATCCGTGCTACGATGCTGTGGTTGTCGTGAAGAGCGGAGCTCTCTTAGCAGAGGTGAAACGTGAGCGCTGGACTAACCAAGCTGCTCGCTGCGACTCGCACGAAGAGCACGGCGAGCCCTGTCCCGCCCGGCGTGGGAACACGCGGGACACGAATTACGTTAATAAATTGAATTTACGTTTAATAAATAATGCTGGGGTTTATCAAGAATTGATGGGTGGTGGTAGTGATGTAGCTTGTCAGGGTTGGAGTAGTGATGTAGCTTGTCTGATCCCTTCTGCCTCGGGAGTGTTAGCACAGTTGTGGAGATGCTGGATGGTTCCATATCAGACATGGACACTAGATCTGTATTTGCCCATGTGCAGATTGCTTTGTATAAAACCTATGGCTTATTCAGCTAAGTGTTTACATTGTGTGTACACTGTGCTCTACCCACAGCTAAACCAGACTCACATCAGCCCTTTGGGGTTAGCTGTGTGAGCCCCAGCATACATAAGCTGTAGGCTCCTTCTGGGCTGGGTTGAATTGCTAGTTGTGCCTATCTTGAATAAGATCTTCTGATTGAATTTTGCCGAGTATTACTTTTCTGCCTGCAAATTGCTGAAAGCTGTGTAACACAGACACCTAAAACGGAAGGAGTGTTTATATGCATTTCTTTGGACTTGCTTCAAGTTAAAGCTTCCCTTTGAGATGGCTGTCACCATGCACTGTAGTTACTGTGCTGAAAGACCTGCGTGTTCCTCCTTAGCATCACTAAGGATTTTAACTCGCTCTCTTGCTGAAAGCAGGTCTGATGGAGCTAAATCACTGCTGTTTAGAAAATGCCTTGACGGAAAGGTGAAGACTTGGGCAAGAGCCGTGCAGATAGACGCTTGGTTGATAGTTGATACCTGAAATCGTGACTTCTAATATATTTCATACAAAATATATGCCATAATCTTCTTCCTGATAGAGGTGAAAATAGAAATCCTCCCGATTTTATCCATCACACTATCTGATGCTTTAAGAGTATAAAGCCTTTTGATAGCTATTAAGTGCTCGACATGGCATTTGGTCAATAGTTTTCCTAAGGCAAATGATGACTGGGCTTACAGAGGTGCTGTCGTTTGGAAGAGCAATCACTATGTTTTCACATCTATACAAGTAATGTAAATAACGTGACCATTATATTTTTGTTCCTAGCCTTTTCTTGCAAGTACGCAATATATATCTGTGCCTGTTTGTCTTGTTTGACTTGCTGCCAACTTCATTTAACAGAAAAATGGCAATTTCACTGAAGGATTGTATGGATTTTCCTTTAATGGTTTTCAGGGGATCACACTGTTTTCTGTAGGTTGCTGCAAGGTGTCATTGCCCCCACTGGAAAAAAACAATCAAAGGAGCAATCGTAGTTAGGGACAGGCAACAGCCGTGCCGGGATTTCCGTGCAACAGTCGGTCAGTGCTCCGGGAAGGAGAACAGGCGCTTGGAACAGGAGCAGCCCCGCGTGCCCCTTGCCAGAGCGGCAGGGATCCTCCCGCACAAAAATCCTCTTTCTTCCTGAAAACAAAATCAGTAACGTTTCCTTTTCTTTCCAGCGCTGAAGTAGTACATTTTGCAATGGTGCCAGGTTGTTGTAAGGGTTTGTTTTTGAACATAAAGTCCCATCTCAAGTGGTTCTTTTTCCTTGTATCCCCTGGCAGCAGGGAGAGAAGTGCGGTTGTTACCTGCTGCTCTCACAGAGCGTTGCATAATTTTATTCATATTCAGAGCTGAGACCGTTAAGTGCTTTGCAGATCAGGGCCAGAATCTTGAACTCACTTTTTAATCAGAATGCCAAGGAAAGAGCAGAGGAAAACGTGTTGGAGAAAGAGCAAACCGGGCGGCTCAGGATGCGGCTGAGCCGGAGCCGGCCTTGTGGAAGCGTGCAGGAAGCTGCAGAGTAGTACGGCAGCTAAAACTGAGCGAAAAGCACAAAAGTCACCAGAAAAACACCAAGCTCATGCCTTAATAACAACGATCAAAAGCTGAAACGAGCGGTGCCAGCGGGCGCGGGAGCAGCCTGTGCCGGGGGAGTCCCCCTTTGTCCAGAGCAGCAGTGGGAGCCCGAGGCCTGGGCACGTGCAGGGTGCTCTCACCTGCAGGGACTCCGGGGACAGCAAAAACAGCGAGTCACTGAGTCAAAATTAGGCCCGTTTCAGCTTCTCGTGGGAGTAAAGGGAGCTCAGTCTCCAAAGAGCTTTTAGGAAACGATTTTTTACTGTCTCTTGCCCATAGCTTCTTAAGGAATGAATCAATCTCCCCATCCTCTCCCCTCATCCCTGTCTTCTCTCCCTGCTAATTTTAGTCTGTGTTTATAACCACGCACCGACAGTCTCTGATGCACTCCAGGTGATTTTTCTGCTGCGCCTTTCCTTCGGTGCTGTGATCTATTCCTGCGCCTCTGGCTACGCGACACCTCAAAGCCGTCTCTTTAGCGGGATGCCCGCGGCGCTCCGTGCCGGCGCTCCGTGCCGGCGCTGCGGCCGCGCGGGCGCCGGGCTGGGGCAGCTCGGCGGAGCTCAGCGCTGCCAGCCTCGCGCTCGGCACGTGCGCACGCCGCGTCGTGGCCCCGAGCGCGGGTTCCTGCCGCTCTGCCCCTCCGCAAAGGACATTTTCACATTAGACCTGGGGAAAACCCTCCTCATGACTGTCCCGTCCATTGAGGCTCTCCTCGGCGGTGTCCTCCCATCTGCTGCTGCCTGGCACGCTGCCTAACGGCGGGATGTGCCCTCCGGAATTCCTGCTGCCGGAATTCCAGTGCAGGGGCTGCGGCGTGGCAGGACCTTGGGAGGAGAAAGTAGAAGCAGCGCGTGGCGCCCGCCCGCGCCCGGGCCCCGTGCGGAGCGGAGCCCCGTCCTAGGGGCACGGAACGTGATGTTCCCCGTCTGACGGCAGGGTGCTGGGGCTGGCCCTTGCGCCTGGGCCCCAGCAGGGCCGTTTCCACGAGCCCCTTCTCGGGTGCCGTTCGGCCCCGCGCCCTCCCTCACTGCCCTCGTGCCGGGCAGAAATTCCCTGCAGAATCATCACATTGTTCCGCTGATCCCTCTGACCTTTGCAGCTCTTCCGGCTATGGTTTCTCTAACCTTTTCTAGATAAAAATAGGTTTGAGTGCTTGGTGTGTTAGGAGGGAAAATAGGCTTGAGCGTTTACGGTCAAACTGGGGTCAGATGTAAATTTACCGTGTTTAATCAGAGATGAATTTATCAAGTAATGCTTTGATTCTCTAGTAACAAATGTCTGCTGAAGAAAGCTAAATTTAGAGATGCTTTTGATATGTATTATCCACTCCATCCTCCGAGCTCCTTTAATGTGGAAATTAATTGATATGGTTAGTAAATCGTCTTTCTCATTACCCGTAAAAACGAAGTAAGTCGTCGACTTAGAAAAATGACATATTTTAACTTTTATGATGAGGTATTCATGGGCGAAGCAGGGTGAATTTCTTGACAGTCCCCAGCGTTCCCGTCCGTGCAGTTCCCGTTGCGTGCCTGTATCTGCCGCTGCCATCGGAGCAGTTTGCAGGCGACTCGAGCGTTATCCCCCCAGGTGAAGCTGCGGTGCAATGTGTATCGCCAGCAAAGCAGTGCTTTCAAATGGCCTTTTTCGAGCTGCCAGCCACGTTTTAGGCTCTTTGGCAGGAGGGAGGTTGTCCCCGTCCCCCAGGCGGAGCTGGTTTGGAGGGAGGCGATCGTGTCGAGGCTCGTGCTCCGTGTGCCGCGCTCCCACGGGAAGCGAAGCCACCGCTGCCGTGTGAGTGTTCACTGAGCAGCAGGCTAAGGGGGGATGAATTTCCAAGGGTTTGTGAAGTGCTGCCCTCCTCGGCTCTCACCCCGCGAGTGCTGGTCCCCCGGCTCTTGTACCCTCTGCAGGCAGCTCGGGGCAGCCTGGGGATCCTTTGGTTGTACATTAAAAACAGTATTTTGCCCTCGCAGATAACGGCAGGGAATCGAGTAGAGCCTCCTGCCCACCGGCCTTGATTTTGCACACTGACAGAAAACGCAAGCTGCTGGAGGATGGGGACGACAAGGTCTGTTATGGGATTTTTCTTCTTTTTAAATACAAAAAGTCATTTTAAATTTTGCCCTGTACTAATTAGAGTGTGAATAAAGGATTGCTCTTCAGTCTAGAGCTTTGCTATCAATATAGCTGGTTCCCCAAAGTCGATTTAAAGAGCCGCCTATTTAATCTGTCTCGATCTGTTTAATCTGTCTTGGTGCTTTATGAGAGTCCTGTTCCTGTAGCAAGGTAACATTTAGCAAAGGGACACTCGTGTCCGGTTTTCTGCCCGTGCCAGCCCAGGTAGTCAGGGATATTTGGTTCTGTCCTGTGAGTGCTTGTGTGCAAAGAAAACGTGACACAAGCTGGGGCAAAACTCATGCACTAGAGAGTCACACGGAAAAAACACAACAGTTGGGTTTGGCAGGGGCCTCTGGAGATACCTGTGTCCAGGACCGCGGCCGCTTGTGTGTCTCCAAGGGTGTCTCCAAGGCTGGAGACGCTCTGCCAGCCGTGGGAGACGTTTTTTCTGCTGTGTTTGCTTCCTTGCCTTTGCTTTTTGACCTTTGCTTTTTTGTATTGGGGGGATAGGGCTGAGCGTCGCAGCAGCATCGCAGCTGGGGCTGCGGTGCTGACATTAAGGTCTAGAAAAATACTATTGAATTTCCCAGATGGCAACTGCTAAGAGCCTGAAGAGCTTTACAGTCTGGATGCCTGTGCACATTGCACCGTGTACAAGGAAGAGCTTTTTCCTGGGCTCTTCCTTCTTGATGTTACGGATTAAAGATGCTGTGCACGTCTTAACGAGTGTTGTGCATAGCCCTTCTTTAAGGATCAATCATGGGGTCCTTAATTAGAACTGGTAGGGGAGTGTAAATGGAAAGCAAATAGTACGTGTATCTTACAGGTGTGTAACCTTATATTTCTGGAGCTTAACTAGCTTTTCTGTGCCGCGTTGCAGAGTGCCCCGAAGGATGCGGCCCGCTGGGGAGGCGGCAGCCGCGGGGCCGGGGTCGCCTCGCGGAGCGCCCCGTGCCCCGCGGTCCCGCTCTGCCCGTGCCGCCCGCTCCCTCGGCCACGCGCCACCCAAAGCACTGGCACTGTTTTCTTGGCAGCCCCTTTCCCTTGCGCTCGCCCTGAGCTCGGCGCTCGCAGCCCCTCCTGCTCCCGGCCCTGCTGGCTCTGCTCTCTCACTGTGCACGTTCTGTCCCTGCAAGGGCCTGTCCTGGCTCCACGGAGCTGCTCCTGCCATCCCGAGGGAGCTATGGGCATGTACAAAAGCACCTCTGCTGGGCTTTCGCTCATGCTGTTTGAAGTGGGACAGCGGTTTTACCGTTTCCACTTTGTCTAGTGTTGCCGTAGAAGGGGGTCGGCATGCCTCGTCCGCTAGCTGGACTGACCTGGGGTTATTCGTGCCCCAGGGCCATAGAGCACTGACACCAATGTGGAGGATGCGGCAAATGGCGTTTATTGCGTAGTTCAGTTTGCCTAAATACTCCATTTGAAATGCGCGAACTCACCTACTGCCCAATCGGGACACTAATTTCAAATTTTCGCCTTGTATGGCATGGGGTTATCAGTAAACTGTCTAAATTAATTATGCACCTAACTCCCGTGACATCGCGAGATCTTCCGAACGCCATGCCCTGTGCTCTATGCCCTATGCTACACTATATCATCTACTTTTGCTAATCTCTCTACCTTATTAAGTCCTAAAAACACAAAAACTCCTACAGTCTAGGATGTTCTCAAGGGAGCTGCTTGTTCCTACAACCGCTAGTGGAGGGTGGCAATTTGGGTAATCCACTTGAGGTTAAAGGGAATCATTTGTGTGACAACAGCATCCTTATGCATCAGCTTTATTGGCTGACTAATCCCTCTTTGTCTTTCCAGGATCATGCTTTAAAACTGCTGAGCGAGGATGGCAGCACAGCAAACGGCAACAAGCCCGTGGCATCCACGCCCGTGCCGGGATCGCCGTGGTAAGCAAGCGCAAGCAACCTCACAACTCCTTCATGGGTGTCCATGATGTGCTCCAGGTGTCCCTGCTTGAGCAGGGGCTTGGACTAGGTGATCCTGGAGGCCCCTTCCACTGTGAGCGGACCCGTGACGGGCCGGGGTTGACGGGGCGAGTGCAGAGTGCTGCTCAGTCAGTCCCTGCAGAGCGGAACCGTTAGCGCGCTCTGATTTTCTGCTCTGTGTTTCTGCTTGCGTTCTGTGAAGTGGTGTTGTATCGGGGGTCAGCCTGGCTCTTAGGGGCTCAGACCTCACACATTTTGAGGATCCAGCTTGGAATCCAGCTTCTCCTTGGATCAAGGAGAAGATAGAAGATCTGTTAGAAGCGGTTGTGCTTTTCTAGGGCCAGATCCTTGTCATCTTTTACCTATTTCATTTGGCAGTGGAAAGCTCTTGTTGTCTTGCAAAGCAGGTATAGATTTCAGGTTATCGCTGTGAGAACAACTTGTGTCCCATGGCCCAGGGTTGCTGTCCAGGTTCCCACTCAGGTAATTACACACTGTGTAACTAAAACTCTGGTGTGATTTTGAAATCTTGAAATTTTGAAATTTTGAAATTTTGAAATTTTGAAACAACTCTTCGCTTTCTGTCCCAAATGCTTCACTGTATGGGCTTTGCTTTTGTCTCCTTTATTTATATGCATTTCATACTGGACGAAGTAATGATTTTAGTTTATAGTCGGTTAGTGAAGTGTGTGGGATCTGTGGTTGAAAGGCTCTGTACATACTAGCCATTATTTACTGTTATTCCGCAGTGCCTTTTGCAGGGCGGTGTTGTGAACACAGCCTGATGCTGTGGGGAGATGAGGCACGGCAGGTTTGTGCGCTGGGCTGGTCGCTGCTGCCGCGACGTTCGCTGCTCGTGTGGGGTGCTGGGAGGAGGTGGCGGGCCGGGGCGCTGCGAGCGGCCGGCAGCCCCGCGGCGCTCGAGCACGGAGCCCCGGCTCCGGCTCGACGGGGTGCTCAACACCCGGGAACGCGCACACTGTCTGCAACGGCAACCGCTCCGTGTGGCTTCAGGAGGGCGCTTTGGTGACCAGGTCAGTGCACAGGGTGCTGGAGAAAACACCCAAACCTCGTCCCTAGGCACCAGGAGGGAGTGACGCAGCCCTCGTGCTAGCCCCCGTGCCCTCCCGATGTGACAAAGCCTGCTCTGCACCGTGGCTCGGAGCACAGAGCGTGCCTTTTGGGTGCTCGGTCGTGACGTACAGCTCGTTGAATAGCAGAGTCTTTTAGAACAAGCTGCGTGACACAAATTCAGCAAAATGCTGGGTTCACCTCAGCCGCTCTCCACCCATAGCTTGGCTCCATGGTTGGCGTGACATCAGCAAGCTTCTGCTGGGGTGTCATTCTGGAGGAAAGCTGAGTGGGGCTGCAGCTTGTACCGCTTAAAACAAATTAAAAGGTGAGTTTCCAGCTGTTAATGTGCTGCCAGTCCCTCTTAGGCTCGCAGGACATTCCGCATGTAGTGGAATTCGGATAATGCCCATTCTGATCTTCCACTCCTTAGTCAGAAATGTAGGATGGGCCTATTTGCTCAATGCTCATCTTACAAAAATAATCTTTCTTACAAAAATAATCTTTTTTTCCAAAAGCAACAAGTCATATGCTTTAGGATGTATTTAAATTTGTGGGATGACAGCCATTTACACTTGATGTTCTAGCTGTAGTTATGTCTTCTATGAATTAATTACCATTATTTCTGGTACTGAGGCTGATCACTTTGGTAACGGAAGTTTAATTTGACAGTCGAGATCAGTGTCTAGAATAGAGGGCTGTTGAGTGCGCTTGCTAAAACAGGTAGCGAATGCGTCAGGAATGTTTCTCGTCCTCCTGCTGCCAGCTTCCAGGTTACTAGATGGCTGTTAGGAGCCATGGAAAAAAGAGCTTACCAACATGTGCATTTCCAGGTAATGCTCTGTGACAAAACACTCTGCTCTCCCTGTTGTTTTCCCAGGGAGGGACAGGCGAGGTGTTTTGCTGGGAAAGGTACACTAATTTTTAATTAAATGTCAAATTGCATTAGTTGCAGGAAAAAGAAGAGGCATCACAAGGGACCCCAAAGTTTCCAGCGTGGGTAATAGCAGGCGAGACCCGGCGGCGCTCGCTGATTAATGAGCAGCATCAATGTTGTGTGAGCGGCCAGAGGAGCAGTGCGTGTCAGGAGACAAGCAGGGACAAAACACGGGTTTTGTAAATACCGATTAGAATCTCTGTCAGGGAATAGCTTAGTCCTGCCCACGTGCGGTCGCCTCATCGATCCTAAACACGCTGGGCACAAGTTCACCCTCGTGTCTGCGGGTAATTCCCCTGGTGACTCCAATTCCAGTGTGTTTGTTTGCCAGTGGAATAAATTACAGTGAGGGACATTTCAAAGCAGGCATTTACTTGTGGGATTGACCTCCGTGCTGACTGTAAATAATATTTAATAAGAGGATAAATATAGATTTTGTATAAGTTTATGAGCTAAATCTGCCCTTTTCACCTAAATGCTACGCTTCTTCTCCTTTCTTCTGGTGTGATTGTGACAGTGATGGTGCTGGGGAGTCTTTGCTCCAGAATGTCCTCCTGCACATGGCCTCGGATGTGCTGTGGACGGTGTTACCCTGTCGGAGGCCCTCGCGGTGCTTTATGGCACAGCAGCAGTTGGTGACGTGCAGGTCGTGGTGCGGGAGGACACGGGGAGGGAGGTGAGGAGCCCGGCAGGCTCGTCCCAGCTGACCGCTGCCTCCGAGGCCTGGGGAGGCCAGCTGGTCGTGCAGAGCACCTGCAACTTAAAATCCTAACGAGGTCATTTAAGTACTTGTCACGTCCGTGTCGCCAAATTCAGGGTGCCAGGTCACGTGTGTGGTGTCAATGTAGGTGGGAAGTCAACAGCTGAGTCTGTGCAGGTGCTCCTGGGCAGGGGATTCCTGTGGTGGATGTTCAGCCTTCCTGGTGGACGTTCAGCCCTCCTGGCAGATGTTCAGCCTTCCTGGTGGATTTTCAGCCATCCTGGTGGACGTTCAGCTGTCCTGTTGGATGTTCAGCCGTCCTGGTGGACGTTCAGCCATCCTGGTGGACGTTCAGC